TTTTTTTTTTTTTTTTTTTTTTGATGTGGATATAATAATGAGGTCTGTTACTTTGTCTGCACAATAGATCAACTGCTTAATGACATGCATGGCTGTAAGATTCAAAGTAAAGCAACAGGGACCTCACAAACATTGCAAATTTTTGAGCCTCAGGGTAAGCATTCATGGGATGGATGTGCATGTAGGTATAGATAGAAATGTGATGTGCAGTTGCTAGTTTGATGAATCAGAAAGGTTTTGTACTTTGTTGGTGGTTGAAATTTGTGTCACTTGGGTAAACAACTATAACAGCCTGAAATTCTGACACTTTTTCATGACTTTGATCTCAGACTGTGAATGTGAGTGCTGCTTACCTTCTCCCACTCTTGCCCATCTCTACTGGGTTATGAAACCTTGAATAAGTTGTTAACCCTCACCTTGCCTCTGTGTCCTTATCAGTGAACCAGGGTAATTATACCTACTGTGAGAACTGGGATCATATGTGTGAATGTGTGCTAGCCTATTATTACCCTATTTGCACACAGTTAAGACTCAACCAATTTAGCTTCCTTCATTGTTTCAGGGAGTCCAGACTTGACAGTCAACTGGAAACCAACTGACTTATCTCATTCTGAAATGTTTTATTTCCATGTTGTTTTTGTTTGGGTTTGGCTTGTTTTTTTGGTTTATTCTGGAGGTGAATCAGAAGTAACATGAGACCTTTGATATTCATACTGTACCTGGAAGGTCCATAGCTGTGATGGGCATTTAGATAGGACAATTCATGAAGCCACAAAGACTCTGAACAGAGTAGCAATTGTTCAATCAGCGGACCTCAAAATAGAATTCTGGTTTAAGAATTCAGAAAAAGAAATCTAGGGGTAATATGGTGGCCATATGGTATACATGGAAAATCTGGACAGAGAGTCTAACACTTAGGAATTATTTCTGGAAACAATATGGAAAAATACCTGAATTAGCCCTTCTTCCCAAAACCAGGACCTCAGGTCATTACATGTTACAGAATAATCCTCCCAAAGATCCTGATTCCTTGGAAATGTATTCTCCAGAGACCAGGAAGCAGAAGATTGAGCTACCTCCACTCCTCGCCTGGGAAGTCACCCTCTCTCTTCATTTGGTTTCCTTATGTGCTTACTTACTGCCAGTCCATTTTACCAAAACAAAACCCTGAAGGTTGTCAGATGGAAATACACTTGAGAAAGGCTTCAGTGAAATCAGTTTTACTTCTAGGCTGGATGCAAGTCAAATGTTTGGATTTAGGCAAGCTACCTACCCTGAGATCCCTGGGCCTTCACCTGGGTCAAATGGACCCAAGATACTCATTCCTTTCCCTGCCTCCTTCCAATAAGACCATAGAACATTAGAAGGAGGTAGTTAGGGGATTTCCGGATGATGCTGTTCTTATTATTTGTTGCTTCATAGCCAATTAAAACACATGTATTATTTATGATATGTGGATGAGAAATATTGTTCAGAGCCTGGATGGAGATATTTTTGCTTCCTGAAGGAGTGACTGAGGTAACCAGTGGTATATGGATGGTGGATTGATGGGACTAAGACATCTTCTTGCACATGTATGGAACCTTGGGGATGGGAGATAGCTACAAGTCTTCTCACTTAGGGATGTCCATCCAAGCACCTACACATGGCAGTGTCAGTGCGGTAGTACTTTTTACATGGCACCTCAGGGATCCCATAGGCAGAATTCCAAGACAGGAAATTAGAGGCTGCCCACTGTTTAAGGCTTGGGTCTGGATATAGGCATACATTCCCACTTCAACTCCACTTCTGGCTAACTCAGGCATGTGTGACCTAGTCATTTGTCATGGTAACCAAAAAGGTACCTGAAAGAGGATTCATTCATAGATTGACATCTACTGAGTACTGGGCATGTGCCTGGCTGGGTGCTGAAAGGTGCCTCTGCTGATGTCCTACTGCTTGTAGTTGGCTGGGTGTGGAAATGGGCAGTAGGCAGGAGATTTTCCTGAGGTGCCCTCAGGGAAAAGACCAGTAAGAGAAGGAGGGTAGCAGGAAGGGGAGGAAGGATTAGGCCCAGGCCAGAGCCACAGACCAGGACCTTCGTGCACTCCACAGCAAGCACTGTGACTGGCAGGGCCTCTCAGGGCCTCTCTGGAGTGGGCCAGGCCTGAGCTCTGACATACTGCAGCCAGCAGATGAAAACTGACCCTAAGGGAAGTGCCTTAATTTTGAGATATTTCTCTTGCCAGGTCCTTTTATGATCCCTCAGCTCAACACTCCAAGCAGGCGGGGAGCCAGTGCCTCTGAAAGGAGATCCTGGGGTGCCCTTCCTGAGGACCATTTGAGGGGAATGTCCTAGGAGGCAGCCAGGGAAATAGGCTCATAGCCAGTGGTTACCACAAGAACTTCAGGGAGGAGACAGGAGAAGAGATGGACTCATGGATAGAGCTTTGCTAATTCAACCTCTGTTGACAACACTCTTAACAACTTTCAGACAAAAAGTAGGATTCTATGCCTTCAAACTCATCTGCAGGAAGGATCTCCAAACATTTCCATATACTCACTCCTCACCTGCTCCTTCGGTTGCTACTATATGCCAGGCGCAGTGCTCTAGGACAAGGTCACAAGATGAATAATATCTATTCTAATAATGCATGCCTTCAGGAAAGTCATTGTCCAGTTTCAAGAAAAACAAGAACCTGGAGACTGGTAAAGATGGCAGTCCTTTAAATGAAGGAGGAACTGGGCAGTTAGCAAAGGTTAGATAAGACACCCTGGTCCAGCACCCTGTATGCAGCAATAATAACGGCAGAGCTGCAGAGAACCAAGTAGCACAGGTCAAAGGCACCCAGCTCAGAGACTGAGAGCAGAGGACGGATGCTTCATGGTCTTCACAGGAAGGTGGAAATTAGAACCTGAGTGAAGTGAGTGGCATAAGTTAAAATTTCAGAATTGTAGAAATGTTTCTACCCAAAGATGGCTGGCGACAGAAGGCAGCATCAGTTACCTCAGACACTCTGTGTAAGACAGGTCCTTCCTGTAGGATCCTGGCCAAGAAAACCTTGTTGAGCAGAAGTTAAACCGCCAGTTGGATGTCAGTCAGCCCAACTGGGCAAGAAGGAGTCATCTTTGTTAGGTATCATCTGTCTTTTAATCTCCATGCTTATATAAAATCTTACCAGGATCACAGAAGTACATTTTTATGTTGATTGTCATCATAATGAAATACTTCTGAGCACCTTCACAACATATAGAAACGACTGTTCTTTCCTATTTGACATGGAATTCCATTCATTCCTATGAAGATAAGCATTCAGTGATCATATATGTTTCTTACGCATAAGATTTATTTTACCACTAGTTTATCATCATATTTACAGCCTCCAATGTTCTGTAGGGGTGTTTGCCCTCCGTGCTTCTGTGGAGCTGAATGTGGAGTAAGTGGAATGATGCTTGCAGAAAATAATTGTTATACCCAAGAGATCTTCAGCCATGTAGATTACATTGGTATGTTAATGATTATAAGAAGTATTAGCACCTATTGAAAATTTGCTGCGTGATTAACAGCCTTCTGCAGCGTTTATGTGTATTAATTCATTTAATCATCATAATTGTAGGATACATACTATTTTCTCAACTTAGCAGGTAAAAAAAAAAATTTGAGACAGAAGTAAGTAACTTGTTCAAGGTTACACGGCTAGTTAAAACTTGGCTTCTTATTCCTAACTACAATTCTAAGCGTATTGTTTTTGACGTGATTAAGTCGAGCTGATATATTTCTTCATCATACCTTTTTCATAGTAATTGCTTTATTGAGATGCAATTCACATACCATAAAGCTCACCCTTTTAAAGTGTAAAATGAAGTGGCTATTCATATATTCATGCATCAGGCATCAATTATCAATATCTAATTCCAGAACGTTTTATTACCCCAAAGAGAAAGCTATTCCTCATTAAAAGTCACTCCCCAGATTTTTCTTCTCCACAGCCCCTGGAAGTCACTACCTACTCCTTTTCTCTATGAGCAGTTAGTATAGATGGAATAAAGTAATATATGGCCTTTTGCT